TTGCTCCTGTTCACGTTGCTCCTGCTCACGTCTTGCATACTCCTCCCTTGCTTGTTCTTCCTGCCGAGAACGTTGCTCAGTGGCATCAATGCTGTCGTGAGAGGTCGCTAATTGGTTCCATATCTGGGCAAACCAGCCGTCCAAGAGATTAGAAGCCCCCATGAAGGCGAAATAAAGCGATCTGAGGACGAAAAATGACGTGATGCCTTCTCCGACCTCGTCTTGCGGGCTGTGCAGGTGGTGGAGGAACAAGAAGTTCCGGTCGTCCTGAAAATTGTCTAAGTTGGGTAACCCGCATCTCCTTTGCAGCTTTTCTCCAGGGCCTGAAGTGGTGAGTAACGGTCTGGACAGCTCTGGAGCAATAGAGGGTCGCAGTAATTCTTCCGTATCCATAAGCCTACGAACCTCAGGAGACTCGAACCCGACACGGATGGCCAATTCCGCGAATTGGCGTAGTGTGGCTCGGTCAGCCTTCGCACGAGGTCTGACTGTCACATCGTCACTCATCGGCTCTCGTGGGATTTCGACAAAGTGTCTCATGGCAAAGGCGACGATCTGGCGATAACCAAGGTCCACCTGTGCATCGTGCGGGCCTTGGAGTGTTTCAAAGCGCGTCTCGCCCACTTGGATCACAACTTGGTCATCGCGTTGATTGATGGCGGTAAAGCCACGTTCGAAGGCCGACAAGATCGTGTCGCGGCGTGATATCGTCATCAGGTGCTTGACGCTACCGACGCATGCCTCCCAGTAAGTGATATCCCGGAAGAATGTATGCAAGGATGGAATCAGGTACTTAAATTCGCATAATCGCTGGAAGATGTACCGTCGCTCCTCCTCACTGAAGGCTCTCAGAATTCGACCGGCACGTATTTGGGCTTGAATTTCCTCTGCGTCATTTGAGGATACACCTGGAGCTCGGAGCTCCAGCGCCTTCACGTCTCGAAAATCAAACTTTTGCAGGGCACTGGGGTCGCCATCAACCAAATCGTGCCAAAATCGTCGGACATGTTCGAGATAGTTCAGTATCTCCTGCGACGAGTCGGTCCATGCCAAGTCAATGTTTGGTAGCACCACCTACGTCGTCAGATTTCAGTCCCAGCACTTTGTGAAGCGTGGTGAGTAACATCCCACCCCATAGGCCGGGGACATCGAGCAGAGCGTCGAAGGCGGCGGTGAGTTCAGGGTGCTTCAACAGTGCTCTCAAATTACGACTCCGGCAACCTCGGAGGCGAGCCCACCATCGCAATTCAAAGCTAAGGTTGCGCTGAAAGTGGTACAGGCGGATCTTGTAGAAGATCATTCCGTCCGTGGGGATGCTTTCATTCGCGTATTCCTCGACGAGGCAGCGCTTGACATCCGTCGACAAACCTGGCCGGTACATCAGTCCGCAGCGTTCACCGTGATGGTTTGTAACTCACCACCAAGGTAGATGTCAGCGATCCACCATTTGTCCCGAGGAGACAGAAATTCGCGACCGGCTTGGATACGGTGCTTGCCATGGAGGCAGATGACTTCGGTACCGGTGGGAAACCGGAGCTCAGGGTAGTCATCTCTTTGGGGGGTGAACAGATCCGCGGCCGCCACACCAGAAAGATCAAGGGCGGCATCGAAAGAGGTTTCATCAATCTCGACCAAAATGCGATTGTTGATGAGTTGTGGTCGACATCCTTCGCGTCGGTAGATGCCTTTTAGACGTTCAACGTTGTTTCTATCAAGTTGCTCATGAGCTTCGAATTGAACCTTCAAAACATCAAGAGAGATACGGGCGGTCCCTCGATGTTGCCGGCGCCTTTCCGTTTCGAACTTTGCATCCTCCAGTCGGGCTCGGCTGGTTCGCATGGCGCGGAAACCTGTTGATGGGCAATATTTCCAAGGCCTAACTGTGCGCAAATGACAAGAACGACCGGCTAATAATGGCGCGTGGTTTGCAGTGTTTGGAAATCTTGATGACTTGATCTTGATACAGTGATCCTACTTTTACAGTATCAGGATTATATAGGTCCGAACGGGCTATAGTTGTAAGGAAGTCCGAGGAATAATGGTAAGTTAGTGAAAGACAAAATGGAGGAGTTGAGTTGGTTTTCCGCGGAACCTATATAAGTAGGTAATTTAAGCAACACCTTAACAGGTCCTACTTTAGGTCGTTGCTTTTATTGACGATGTACCTCGATCTGGCGGCTTTTTCCAAGTTTGTAGTGGATTCCCCTGTGTGACTGACTATAAAGGATCCTCCTTTCTCCATCGCAGTGAATTTTTAACACTCTGATGTCTTGAGTTGTGCAGGCCAGGGAAATGGAGCATGTCACCCAAATATTCATATTTTCGGCCGCGGTAAGCTAAATTCCCTTGCTTAGCAGCTTATAGCACCGTTCCATTTCCCATCCGTTGAGTTACGAGAAGATGAGCGAAAAAGTGATTAATTCAAAGGGAAACACAATGCGACACTGCAACAATATCATAAAAGGTATACAATCGTTTAGATCGT